TCTAGTCATACCTTTTATCACATTAAATTACTCAGTTGGGCTGTCTATCCCCATAACCTCAGCTATAGGCGTAAACCAAGGTTATGTTCTAAGACCTACACTTTTCAATGTTTACGTTTTTGATCTTCAAACCTATTTAAGCAATCCTGATAATGATGCTCCAACTCTTGTTAAGACAAAGCTTTCGCATATTATGTAACTCTGTTCCAATTTGGATATTTCCAGCAAAACCAGTGGCCATTTGGGATTTTCGTCTATTTGACCCATTTGGGCGCCGATTTCGCACTGGGACTTTTGTGAAAATATACGTCTCGACCGTCCATAAACCGTGGTCGGCATTTCTATTGCAGCACCTGCCCGTGATTTTTCACAAAATATAAAGGCTATGTCGCTCGTTTTCTTTATCTATTGGATAATAATAATGTATTATTATTGTATGAACCTATATGTAATCTAATCTAATCTATTTTGCATATTGTTGTTGATCCATGTTCAATATGAAAATTTATTTCGCAATATAATCATATAGAGACATGCTGTAAGTGTCATACTGACAGTATATTAATGGGGCTGAACCTCTAACTGAAAAAGTTCCATAACATTCGAATTGAAATGGATCTGTTGTGATAGCGTATGCTACCAGGTAACTCCAGGGTCAATTCTATATGTGGTAAAAATTCCAGCTCCCAGTTTAATAGTCTTACTAAATGCTGACTGTACCCTTTTCAGTGAAATGACAGTTATTTTAATATGTATATTTCACTTCAGGTCGTTTTAAAAACATTTTGAAATAGAGATGTGACGTCCACCGTTGATGTTGGTGTACCAATAATTTTACGGGCAACGTGCCAATCCTACATTAGTTTAAACTAAATGAAATAATGTACCCTCATGCTGATTTTACTGAAATTCACGTGGGGGATAGTGTCTCTGTTTTAAGTTTTTATGTGGACGTATATTGGCGTCGCCCCTGTCCGCCCGGACGTCCGTCCGTCCACAATTTGTTTGTGGACTCTCTACGGGTCACAATTCTTATCCGATTTTGACGAAACTTGAATATAGGTTTCTCTCCAAAAGATCTCGGTTGCTTTCGATATTGGCATGTATCGGATCGAAACTTCGTGGATAATGGACCCTGATTGTACGAAAAATCACGTTTTTAGCTTGTGGACCCTATAGAGGTCATAATTTTAATCCTATTTTGATGAAACTCTAAATTTAAGTGTATAACCCAAAGATCTAGGTTCCTTTCGATATTTGCACATATCGGATCGTAACTTCCTGAATTATGGCCCCTGATTGTAAAAAAAAATCGCTTTTTGTTTAGCTTGTTCTCTATTCATCTCTTGCAAAAATGTGGAAGTATCCTGCCTGGCAGCCGCTGGTCTCGAGCACGACATTGCGTAATATATTAAAGCAACACTCGGACTAACGTCATCAGGCAGTATTAATATGTCAATTAATGTCTCACTCTCTGCCATTAATAGTAACAGGGACTGTCTGACGTTAAACCCCATTTTTTGCGTACATTCTCAACAGTGTTTCTCGTTAATTAGGTCAGTACAGCGTTCGGGTACACTTGCTTTGATTCCACTAACTTGGCATAAGACTGACACGTGCATATGGCCATTATAACCATATTATGTACAGGAACTAATTGTCGAACATAGTGTTAAAGATACATTATGGGAGATTAGATAAAGAGCTGGCAGTTTTCACAATGATAGTTAAAAACTATATGATGTAAAGGGAATTTGCTGAAAATTTCAGTCAAATTGATCCACTCTGAACCGAGAATTTAACGATTGAATTTTCGGCCTAGCCCCAATCATCATTACTAAAGTCGTTACGATAAAAAAAAAACATGGTCACGATTATCTATTTCATGATTAAATCATGAATGAAAGTTGAGCAGCAAATCGGATCAGAATCCAGTAAATATCACAGGCTAGCAATGACACCAAGAGCTGATTATGGTCTGGATAAGTTAATTAATGTATAATTAATAACTTAGATAACATTTCAGGCCTAAAGAAAGACGTGCAATAGGCTGATTTAGCTCTTGCCTAAAGTATGTTTAAGAAAACTAGGAAATTGCCACTATGAAACGCGACCCAGTGACTCATTGACACATGACAATATTTAAACATAGCTTTATATGTATTGATTAAGCTTGTACACTAGTATACACACGTTCTTATTAAAGGCAGTAAACAGCCATCTCATAGTTTGTAGTCGTTCTGCATGAATGGATACTGAAAATGTGATACGAATGGGGGTTTTAACTTCGAACACGTATGTCTAATATTGTCCATTATCGGTAGTGCAGTGTCAATAATAATTGATAGTGCTGTATCAATACTAATATCTGGACTGTGTTTATAATTATCTAATCTTGATAAGGGACTATTTTTGCTGTGAATATGTACACTGTTATCATGATACTAGTTCGTGTTTAATAGATGTAAGCGTCTCTACAGGGTTATACATTTGGTCATGTGACTCCTGCTTACACCACAACAGAAATAGTACAATAAGCAGCTTAAAGGGGTATTGTCACGTACAACAAGACAATAAATAACATTGATTAGGGGATAAAAAGTAGGAAGGTTAATGCAATAGGTAAGTACGTATTTACTTTACAGTATACAGCTTTAAAGGGGTGCTGTCACCCAACACAAGATAATAACTTACATAAAGAAGCTAAATTGCTTTAATTCAGGTCGAACTTAGTTATTGCAATCTATAAGTATGTATTTACTCTACAATATACAGTTTTAAAGGAGTGCTGTCACTCAACACAGGATATTAAATAAACCTCTTTAGTTTGGGCCAAACCTAGTTATTGCAAAATGTAAGTATGTATTTACTTAACAATATACAGTTTTAAAGGGTAACTGTCACTAAACACAAGATATCTTGTTGACCTTGGTCAAATTAAATTATCGCATGAGGTCGATCTAATGTGTAATACTGATAACACGCTCTCTACGATAATAGATTGCTTCAAAGTTTAAGCAGGTATCCATTGTAACTCTGGTAGTATTGTCTAATTATATACAGGAAGATGTTCAGCATTATAAATCTGTTATTATTGTCTGGTATACTCCACTGTGTTTACAGTAAACAACCCAACATTCTCCTGGTAGTATGGTCTAATACAGGAAGATGTTCAGTATTATACATCTGGTGTTAATGTCTGTTACAGGAAGATGTTAAGTATTATAAATCTGGTAGTATTGTCTGTTACAGGAAGATGTTCAGTATTATAAATATAGTATTATTGTCTGGTATAATCCACTGTGTTTCCAGTAAACAACCCAACATTCTTCTGGTAGTAGCTGATGATTATGGTTTTCATGATATTGGTTACCATAATTCAGAGATTAAAACACCAACATTAAATAGATTGGCAGGAGAGGGGATTAAACTAGAGAATTACTATGTTCAACCGATCTGTACACCAACTAGAAGTCAGTTATTATCAGGACGATATCAGGTAGTTCAATAACATCTTTCAATTTAAATTATGTGGAAGAATTGAAATGGAGTTTAACCCCCACTGTTCTGTCCCGATTGGACTAATGAAGACGGCTGTGGAGGAAAACATTGTTCTGGGTGGATTGGAAGCAGAATAATATGGACTGATTGATAGTCCAACATGATGATTCTATTTCTGCTTGCGTTTCGCGTTGTTGCATTGGGTCTGGTCTTGACATTGATCAAACGCTCCATCTGACTGACGAGCCTTTACACAATACATTTAAGACTGTCATTTGGTAAAAATAAAGACGATAAATAATATTATAATATTTCTAGATATAGTTGGGTATAATATGGTGGTTTGAACCTAATAATAATATTTCTAGATACACACAGCATCGTATAATTTGGTGGTTTGAACCTAATATAATAATATTTCTAGATACACACAGCATGGTATAATTTGGTGGTTTCAAACTAATATAAAAATATTTATAGATACACACAGGTTTACAAAACCGTATATAATATGGTGTCCGAAACCTAATTATAATAATATTTCTAGATACACACAGGTTTACAGCATGGTATAATATGGTGGTCTCAACCTAATGGTCTACCTTTGAACAGTCCAACTATTGCTGATAAACTAAAAGAAGTAGGTTATTCAACTCATGCTGTAGGTAAATGGCATCTCGGATTCTATAAAAAGGAATATTTACCAACAAGTAGAGGTTTTGATTCATTTTTCGGTGAGTTAGTACTGTAATTAATATTTGTTAACGAAGGCTTTGATTATTACTACTGTCTGTTGTACTTTGGAATTGCTACTACTGGAAGGTGGTATCGCAGAAAAACGTTTCCCAAGAATGTCGCCAGACGATCTAATTATTATAAGCGACAATTTCAGCATGGGGTAACAATGACAGCACAAGAGGAAATTAATGGTGCGGTCGTGCCTAATGACTTGCTGGACCATATCAGGACAGCTGTTTGTTGCCTTTTAAACACCATATAGAATTAAACTGTTGAGCATGTTACGTTGAATATATATTCTTTGATTGGGGTAAAATTTAAATTTAACTTGTGTTTGACTGTCGACGATTCGGTTTAAGTCAAACAGTAAACCATCACTATATTTTGGTTGAAGTTTAAACGGGTCATGTACACGACCCACTCCCCTCCACCGTACACCACACAAAAAGGTTCAGGTGAAATAGCATAACAGTTCAACTTGTACAATGTCAGTCTTGCTAGCATAATTTAAGTTACATTGTGAAAGGAATGTATCTTTAAGTTAGATATTTTATTTTATAGGTTATCTAGGTGGAAGTGAAGATTATTATGCACATACTACGTGTGCTTCCCTCATTCCTAAAAGTTGTGGTTACGACTTGCGAGATAATCTGACGGTAACCAATCAAACTGGTCGGTATTCAACACATTTATTTACAGAACGAGCCGTTGATATAGTTAAACAACATGACCAGAATAAGGTACGTCACTGATATAGTTAAACAACTGATATAGTTAAACAACATGACCAGAATAAGGTACGTTACTGATATAGTTAAAGATAGTTAAACAGCATGGCGAGAATAAGGTTTGTATAGTCAAACAACTGATATAGTTAAACAGCATTTATCAATAGTGTGACTATAATAAGGTACGTTCCTAATTCATAGGTTGACATACTTAAACAACGATGGCAATAAGGATAACACATAATTTACGTTACTAGTCAATGGTTAAACAAGATAGTGACAACACACTCACATATACACACACAGGTGCGTTACTAACCAAACAGTAGGTGATAAAATTACAAACGGAGATTATATGAAGTACGTTACTAATCAAACCGCTGGCATGATTATAACAGCATGATTACAATAATGTACATTAATAATCAAACAGTTGGTGTGGTTATAACAACATGATTACAATCATGTACGCTACTAATCAAACAGTTTGGATTAAATTACAAAAGCTGATTACAATGAAGTACCTTACTAAGCAAACATTTGATACGGTTACAACAGCATGATTATAATAAAGTGTTTTACTTATCAAACAGTTGATAAAATTACAAACGCTGTTACCAAAAAGTACGTTACTAATCAAACAGTTGATATGGTTACAACATCATTATTACAATAAAACCCGTTGCTAATCAAAAGCTGATTACTAATCCAACAGTTGTTAAAGTTACAACATCATGATTACAAAAATGTACGTTATTAATTGACCAGTTGATAAATGGGATTGAACGACCTGCTCTTTTGTACTTGCTGGTCTCGTAATAAAGGGTAAAATCTATTCAAATTATTGACAATACACATTTTAAAATCATTTTGTTTTACTTGCAGCCATTGTTCCTGTATTTACCATACCAAGCCGTTCACGGTCCTCTTCAAGTTCCTGATAGTTACATAAAACAATATGATTTTATTCAAGATAAAAATAGACGAACATACGCTGGTAGGTGATAGATGTTACTATGAACAATTTGACTTTTATCACTAGAAATTAAATGGGGTTTAACGTCCTACTCTTCTACACCAGTTGAGCTATTAAAGACGGACACAAGTCATGCAATGTGTTATATGATTAATTTTGATCGGGCAGCGACCCTACGGTTTTCAATTAAACGAGAAGCCTCCATCGCAAAGCTTCCAGGAACAGATTCAAACTTTACACATTTTCTATTTTGTACATACTCAGGTTAACGGTACATTAAAATGTTTGGTTGTCACTGTGCGTGTATAAAATGCCTCTAAACTACAATTAGACGAAATAATAGATGACCAATAAACAGAGTTGGGTGCATATTGTAATTTATAACAGGTATGGTAACGTGTATGGATGAAGGTGTAAAGAATGTTACTGATGCTTTTATGGAAGCCGGTTTATGGAATAATACAATCATGATATTTACTACAGGTCAGTTTGTAACAAATTGTCATGCATATTTACATACATGAGTAATTTGTCCCTTTCTGAAAACAATAATATTCGAAACATTTTTGAAACATTTGAAACATTTTATTTCACTAAAGGCCTCACATGAGGCATGATAGTACAATGATTTAACAAAATTCAACAAATAATATAATGCATGAAAAAACATATATATATATATATATATATATATATATATGTTTTTGGGGTTCATTAGACAAAACGTCTATTTTATATCAATAGATAATGGAGGTCAAGTACATGCAGGTGGTAATAACTGGCCATTACGAGGATGGAAAGGATCATTGTGGGATGGTGGAATGCATGGAGTAGGGTTTGTACATGGTCAAGCATTAAAAAATAAAGGATCTGTGAATGACGCGTTGATCCATGTTTCTGATTGGTATCCTACTTTAGTGAAATTAGGGGGAGGTAATCTAAATGGTACACTACCTTTAGATGGCTTTGATCAATGGGCAACTATCAGGTATGTATTTTTAACATTCGGTGATTTACAACATGAACTTGGAATCACAATTTTCAGCTATGATGTCTGTTATTTAGTGGATTTCATTCACGAATCATAGACTAAATTATTATAAATTATGTAATTAAGGGCTGTACAATTTCCAGAGTTGCGTTACAATTGAGATTCTCCAGAAAACATACAGTAGGTGTTTTGTTAATTGTGTTTTACAATCTTACCCCATATAGTGAAGATGCCCCTGCAGTAAGAAAAGAACTGTTACACAACATTGATCCGATGACGAAGCTAGCTGGTAACAAAATGTATCCTGATACGTTTGATAATAGAATTAGAGCTGCTCTTAGAGTTGGTGACTGGAAAATACTCACCGGTAGTCCAGGTAAATATACTAGTCGTTGGCTCATGGATTAAGGAGTGGTCGCAGATCGCTTGGTTCGTTACCTGTGTTGGACTAGTAAGGTCTTAGGGGATGTTCTGTCGTGGTTTTCCAGTGGTGCAGGAAGTGGGGGATGGCAAGCAACATCGTCCATTCGTTCGGATGAGACGAACTACCGACGTCCCGTGTACAGGTTTTTGTACACGTAAAAGGACGCCTGACAGTTGGAAATCAAAATAAGAGTTGGTCGTAGCGCCACCGCCCGGCCACAATTTCCCATATTACACACTGAATATTAGAACGGTAAACTCCAATTCCTTTTATCACATTAAATATAGTGCAAAAGGTAAGATTTTGTAACTAGCGGTGCCAGAAATGTCGGTGGTGTTGATTTTCGTTCATGGTAGAAGAGTATATAAAGCAATAACAACATTTTCACATTTTGTGATAAGTATGGTTTTAGTTTGAAACACCCATCGTTATAAGGTTAATCACAATCCAAGAGACACAATAACATGCAAGGATAGCTATATTATGAATGAAATATATAAACCACGCCGGGTACCTTTTGCCCTGAACAAGAACATATTTTTATAATTATTTTACGTCTTTCGCGAAATATTTCAAACCTCTTTTTTATTATGTATTTAGGTGACTTTCCATGGATGTATTTGTTGCATCCAGCACAAAATTGTCATCCCATCCGCGAGATCGTCAGGACTGGGATTTATAGTTTTTGTATTATCATGTTGTTTTAGGTAATAGCAAATGGATTCCTACACCACACCTGTGATAATCTTACTAAGGGCGGGGATTTATAGCTTTGTACATAATGTTGTTTTAGGTGATAGCCACTGGGTTCCCCCACCACATCTACAAGTAGACAAGAACCTGACATTACCAAGTACCTACAGTCAAGATCAGAATCTTTGGTTATTTAATATTAAAGATGATCCAAATGAAAGAAGAGAATTATCAGCTCTATATCCTGATATAGTTAAATCCATGTTGGATAGACTGGATTATTACAGTAATACCGCCGTTCCTGTCCGTTATCCTGATCCTGATCCTCAAGCTAATCCTAACTTACAAGGCGGTGTCTGGGGGCCATGGGAATAATATTCTGATAGATCCAGAATCTGGCGTCCATTGTAATAAATCTGTTTAAAAAATCGTCTTGTGATTGATCTGGTTTATTTTTATTGTTGCAAACATGGATGTTTATATATTTAAAAATGGACACGGAACCATAAAACTATAATTAGGTGTTCTTCACAAAACGAAGCGCTTGACTAGGGAGAGGTGTTTTTACATAGGTTAAGCCTGTTTCCCAATCCCATTCAGACATCCCGAATACAAATACTGTTTTAAAAATAAAACTAACGATAGGCTGAAACGCCTAAACACGATTACCGGTATCCCTAACGCTAATTAGTGTTGAAAATACTGTTTAAAATGTACACCTTCATTGAACCATGGATGATGGTTTGATTGCTAAGACGACACAGCCATCGTCGATACATTGCCAGAAATAACCATCCAACGAGTAACTTGAATTTTATGTAATTGTGGAATTTACGTTCCTTCATACTTATATGAGATTTCAATGCGGTGTCCCTTTAGTTGTGTCGTGAGTGTGTCTCGTGGTAGTGTAAGTGACGAAGCCCTACGATTATATCAGCAAAACAAAGGCGTTATATCTGCGAAAAAGGTGTAATAAAACTTGACGACAAATAACGAAGTGAAATTTGTTCAATGACGTCAGGTCACACAACAAGTAGTCACTCGGTGTAACTGGTCGATACACGTTCCTTGCATCAGTGAAATGGGCGCCGATAAAACTTTTACGGGTTAAAATCTTAAGTGTCTGGAACATAAAAACCTTTCGCAATCATGTTTTCAAAGATAGGGACAAAATATGAAACAATGAACTAATTTTAGCCCAACGTTCCCAGAAAGTTTTTTAAAAGTTCGGAATTAAACGTTTTGGTGACAAGGCATTCAATCTCATTAAAGCTAAAAGATATAGACTCGAACTAGCCATCCCTTGCCCATTGACTTCAAGGATTTGCTACGAGGATTTGGTGTTGATTGGAGTTAAAATCTCACTTTCGACACAAAGATTGCTCTGCAGAAAGACACTTTACACCCTATCCCTCCACTCTAATATCATCAGTATTACCCCAAACTACTATGAAATTGCAAATTTGATACTTCTTCTCTAATTCTAGATCAAAAGGTCAACCAAAAATGCAGGAAATGGAGAGAAAAAATTTTGGGGAAATATTGTCCATTTATAACTCGCAATTGTCCATAGGGAGGCAGACCACCATTAAATTTCACCAAATTTATAGCAATTCTATCTCTGTATCTTTTCTCCCCTTTTGCAAGCCCACTTTTGTTGATTTTTTGATTTGGATTGGACGAAGGGGTTTTGAATTAACATTTTCTGACAGGTTTTGGTAGATATTCATGATTTTGATACGGATGGATAAGGGGGTTATCAGGTCGGCTACGGTGATATGTACGGCAACTAGTTACATGTTTTTAGTATGCTTCTTTAAGTTTGTGTATCTCAAAGTTGTGGTGGGCAACCTCATACACATTTTAGTGCAAAGACATGACCATTTTTTCCTCTGTCTATAGTGAAAAGCATTCAGCCCAACGAAAATTTGGGCAAAGAGGCCAGAATTAACATTGAGGTCAAAGGGGAAATTAATGGTGGTCTGCTTCCACAGAGATTATGTAGTTACTTCCCTAAAGTTACTAATTACTCGTGTAGAGATATAGCAGGTTTAACACCTGACTTTTCTTCACCGGCAGTGCTAATAGAGACGAACATTTGCCATACAGTGTACTATGGGGGACTTTTTGCCCAGACAGCGGTACTAAATCCTACTCCTAGTTCAAAGTCCAACTGTCAAGGGATCTTTTAGTGTATGTCAATGTGTAAACGGGGCCTCGATTTTTCGTCCCATCTGAACGACTATGTTGTTCCTTGATAGACCCTCTGTCCTGCACCAATGACAAGTGGAAACCACGCCGGAAAAACTCGATGAACTTCTCGGCCAACATCCAACGTCTTACTCACTGAGGAAGCAGATGTACCAACCCCTTTGTACTCGTCAATACCATACACACACTGCACACCAGTCACAATAATTGGACATATAAACAATGCGTGCCCTTTAACGAAAGTAAAACATAAAATGTACTCACATAGTAAATGCAAGACGACCAGATTTATTTAAATATCAAATAAACTAAACAAAACCTAAGACAAACAGTGTACGCTTACTGCTGACTCCCGATGCAATTCACTTGATTTGAAATATACCTTTGTTGTTTATTGCTTGCAATGTTAGCAGTTTGTTTTAGGACAGCTGTCTAGTCGTTCACTCCATTTCATTTTATTTCGTATTAGCTGGTGTGTGGTCCTCTTGCACCTAATATTATCGTAGTTATCTCCCATTACATATCGCCATGCATTGTTAAATTACACGCATATTTCTTCGCGTGACTAATATTAAAAGTACATCTATAATGTTTGCTCACAAAACTGTATTTGTTAATTTTAGCTTTTTCTAAAATTCTATCTCCATTATCTTTCTTATTATTGTTAATTGTTGGGGTTTTTTTACGTTCTTACACATGACGTCAACTAGTGGTTTATCGTCATTCAGAAGATGACCATCGTCAAGATCAGCCGCATTAAGTCTTTCTTGTTAATCGTCGTGTTTTTTGTGTGGGTTTTTTGTGGTTTTTTTTCCATTTTGAGTGAAGCCTGTATTATTAGAAACCAGTTATATATAGTGTAGTTTTCTGACTTGAATAATGGTAAGTAACATATAGTACCACTGACGGCTAAAAAGTATCCCCAGATGCCAGTGGTATCATTCCGTTCTACTCCACTAACTCCTAAAATTACTAATTCAAATCCATAGTGTCAAAAGACAAATTAGTTTAATACTCGTAATACGTGGAATTCACCAATGTCAAAGTGGCAGGTGTTTCGAAACCACTAAGCACCAGGGTCGGGTTAGGAGTGTCTTTAGTGTAAGACCGATTATAGATAAGCGTATGTATGGTAGAATATCACGATTGAAACTGTCGGAGTTACGTGCACGCGAATGTGTTCGTCACATACGAACGACTATACGTTATCCCTTACCAGGCCACCCGCCTTGCCGCACTGACATGGGGAAACCACGCCGGAAAATCCCGAGGAACTTTCTTGTCCAACATCGGGAGCATACCCGAGACCTCCAGGCTAGCCGAGACCTACAGACTAGCGCGCTAACGTCTTACGCGCTTTGCCTACGTTATGCCTTACCAGCCCTCCACCCTGCCCCACTGACACGGGAAAACCACGGCGGAAAATCCCAAGGAACATTCTTGGCCAACATCGGGAGCGAGCCCTAGACATCCAGGCTAGCCGAGACCACCAGGCTAACGTTTTACGCGCTTTGCCACCGCGGCTTCAATACAATAAAGAAACCCTCATTTATTCTTTCCCGGTGCATATTCAACATGAAACAATGATCCGTGAATATGACCTAATTGCCCCCAGCAATATTCCTAGGTTAGAATATTTCTATAACATCATCTAAATATTTCAACCATAGGAAGATATGTATTGTTATTTCTCCCCACTTGGGAGACCAAACAAAAAGGGCCATTGACCTTGAGTTTCTATATTTCCTAGTGTCGTTAAAATGTCTCAGTAGAAGTGTTGAGGCATCAACAAATTGATATTTGTGTTTGTTGTCTGTTTTATTATTATTGAACAATCATTAGACAGAGACCCCCAGAATAGACATCAAGAGATATAGAACGGAAATAAGAACGCAGTCAGACCTCGACACAATGAACTTCTATATTCAGATCGACCCCACGCAAAGAAAGATATATTAAGAATTGTTCATTCTGACAGGGGGGTAAGCGACACAATTATAGTTTTATTCCTGTATGCAGGAACGTGTTAGGGATTTGAGGAGGGGAGGGTCCGGGGTGTAGACAACGTCCAGTTTTACTTGGGGTTTGGGGGGATATCCGATAATTTTATAAAATCCGAAGCTCATAGACAATATGTCTGCACATTTCGGTGCATACATGTATATGATTAGAGTAGAGCGCGACAGTGCCGAATTCACCATTAGGCAAATATGGCACGTACCTTGGAGCCAACCAAATATCCAGGCTGCAAAAAAATTAATTAAAAGAAAAAGTAATCTAGTTACTGTAATATTATAATAATTACAGTACTGTCAAAAAGACATTGATTCTGAATTTTTTTGTAATAAATATTCTGTTGTTAAATTTAACTTTCTTCCTTTTTTCTATGAACCCAAACTATCTGTATTTTCAGACCACCTATCAAAATGTGCCTTAAGGCCAGCAGAGCCTTAATCCGGCACTGTAAGGAGTAAGGCCAAAAAGGTGGCAATGCTTTCACACGTCATTTCGATGAATGTAGGAACCCTGCACAAGCAGAGGGGGGTCCGCCCCCCCCCCCCCATTCCTCTCCACTAGACATGCGCCTGGGGTTTTTTTCATTCTGGCGGGTGGTAAGAGATACAATTATAATTCTGTTTCTGTTTTTATTCCACACTTACCACGTTGACACTATTTTGTTTACCTTCAGTCAATAAAATCTAATTACTTGAACCCATGGGGTAGATTGTTTAATGTTCTTTTATGATTTCATCACGATTTTTGAATTGTTGCCATCATCATTTGGTGAGTCAATAAATATCTTGAAGTGTTGACAGTCTCACTAAAATTATGTTTCGTTTAATTTTGATTATTGAATTATTCATAGTAAATTACTTATTGTTATTTAACGATATATGGCTTAATGTGTCAGTGTTGACAATATGAGTACAATTGGATGTCAGTTATGTATCGTTTAATTTGATTGAATTTCAACTAAATGTAATGTACAAATCGGAAGCAGAAGAAACGTTGCAAAATTTTAATTTGATTGATTTCCTCTTAATCAATATGCAAGATTTAACAATTAGAAAAAAAATATATTGATATATTGGCTGAATTTAGAATCGAATGGCCAATCGGTTGCGCTCGGCAATTTAAGCCCATTCAGCCTCTTGTTTATTTTGACCAATGAATCATTAATAATATAACCGATAAGAGCGTGAGATATAGAATAAATT